TTCTTTAAATACGCCTTTTTGTAATTTTTTCTTCATCTTCAATGAATTCCAGGCTTAATATATGCCTACCCATTTTGGTGTTTTATTTTTTCTCAAACTTACAACATAAAATCAAACAGCAGATTTTTTGTTACCTCCTATTTCGCTGGTAACAAAATTTACAGGATGACAGTGAGCTCAGAATTCGAAATGGTAACAAAGTTTACTAAATGGTAAATTTTAATACCAGAGTAAATTTTGTTACCTCGACAGAATAGGCCTGTTGGGGATTTCTTTTGCTGTTGCCATCTCTAATCTAAATTTGGGTGGTACTTCGGGGGCCATATGTTAGATGACATGAACTGGCGTTGAACGAATTAATCCGAGGCATCGTCTGAGGTTGGAGTTGCTGCATGTATTCAGTTTTTGTAGTGCTGATTGTGGTAGGTTTGAAAAAGACGACGCGGCTTATTCCATTTTTGACCGCGCAAAGGCTTTGTATAGTTGAAGCGCTTTTTGGGGGGCGATTTCGAATTTGCATCCGCTTAGGATGTTCAGGAAGCGGCGTGTTTTGTTGGTCTTTTCTACAATTTGGTTTATATGATTTGCGTAAGCATTGTTTATACTTTTGTGTCTGCCAAGGTATTTGATATTTGAGACTTGTTCTAGTTGGATGTTGTTTATTTGGAGGTGGATTTGTGCATTTTATTATTGTTTTGGTTTTGTTCGGGTTTGTTTTCAATTTAAGGCTGTGGCATTCGTTGGTGAATTGCTTAATTTTTTGTTGCAGTAAAATTTCAGTTTGTTGTAGTGATTTGTGGTAACATACTTGGAAAAAGTCGTCGGCGAATTGGAATAATTTAGAGTTTGGGTTGGTTATTGTGTGGATTTGTTTCGTATATACGTTGAAAGGAGTGGGGCTGAAGCCACTACCTTAAGCCAGGTCGTTGCTGTTTAGTATTTTATTACTATTGAGGTTGGATGATTTTTCCGCAAACCGTATGATCTATTTGGCAAAAACCTGTGTTGTTGTAATTAGTTGTCAATGTGAATTTTGAGTAATTCTTCTACTGTTTTGTGTGAAGTTGAGAGTAAACAGATCGGTCTTTAGTTTAGAATGTTTGTAATGTCATAACCTTTTTTGGGAATTGGGATAATTTTATTTTCCCTTCAAGCCAGACGTTTTTAAGCATTATGAATAGTTTTTGCTTTTCTTTGTCGTTCAGTTGTGTTAATATCCGGTAAGATATTAGAGCCGGTCCCTTGGCTGAACTCATATTCCTAGTGTGTTTAAAATGCAGGAAGTTGTTTAAGATCATTTCTTCTATTGTTTTATTTGCTCTGTTTGAATTGTTGTTGGTTGTGGGTGGATGATGGATGGTAGTTCTAGTAATATGTTCGAGGTATTTAGTTTGCTCTTGGTTGCTCCAGGTGTTGTTGGAAGGCTTCTCGCATTTATATTTTTTCAAGTTTTTAATTTTTTCCTACACTTCTTTTGCGTTCTTTGGATGTGAGAGCTCCTTGATTACTTCGTTGAAATTCTTATTTTTTTGATTTTTAATCTGCGTCTGTTGTTGTTGTTGTTTCGCGTTACTTGTGAATATGGTAGTATTTTGTGTATGTAAGCGGCTGTTTCGTTCTGGTGGTTTGGGGTAAATGAGGGAATTGGCTCTCGTTCTTTTAATGATGTATGCCTTTACTCTTGCCGGGCAATCCTTGGCCGTTGGAGCATGTTAGCATTTGCAATTTACGCAGATAATTTTTTGGCAGGGTTCATTTTTTGCATTTGGCAGCTTTTTCTTTACAATGTTGTGCGAAGTAGTTATATCTTAAACAATGGGTCAGGGCTATGAATGGCTTCACTTGTATTTTCGTATGTGCATAGATGACTTATTCTGGGATTTGTTGTCCTTTAAATAAGATTTTTACACGTTTGATCGCTATTTTAATCTCCTTGTCATCCTTGTGTCTTCTTTCTACCCTTATGACTTTATGTAAGGTGGATATTTCGGTGGGTGTGTCGGAGTATTTTGGGGTCATAGCCTTTTTCCTTCAGCTCTTTACTGTTAGCAATTTTGTTTGCTTCTTCTGCGTTGTTGCATATTATTTTTGTTCGACCGAAGCCTAACTTGCTAATTTCTTTTATGCCATTGAAATTTTTTTTCGATCATTTGCGATAATCTCGTCGTCAATGTATACAACAAAGGGTCCTTTGTAGTCCTTGTCGTATAGTATTTTTTCCAGTATTGTATTCGTTGATTTTCTTTTTGGGCCAGCTATTTCAGTTTCCTCATTGTCAGAGTTTTTGCGTTTGTTTCCAACCTTAAAACTTGGTACCCAGGAGTACTCTGGCTCCTCGGCGTCGACGTTCATCTTCTGTTTTTAATTTGTTTCCCCTTTTTTCTTCTTTGAATATTTTTTTATCTTTTTGTGTATCTAATATGTTTTTATGTATACAGCAGTAAATATTTTAAAATGGAGTAAATTTATGCGTTCGTTTGCTATTTATGTTTGCTGTTCCGACGACTGGGTAAACACAACCGTACTGTTCAACAGTTCACTAGCGAATGTGCGCGAACTAATTTGCTTTGCTTAATCTTCCATCACTCCAAGCTTTGGCGGTGACATCTGTCGACAAATAGTTGCAATATTTGAAGCCATGGATTGATGGCATGGTTGCATTCGCGGTGTGTGCCTGCCCTGTGGTATAAGTCTCCAAAAGGAGGTGTTCCCCAAAACGGTTCCTCCACCAACAAATATTAAGGAAACGGAATGCAGAGCGCGGGTATTCCGTAAAAAGGGATGTCGCATAGCTTGTAGCCTGGCTCGTAATTGCGTGCCGGATCAGATTCTCACAATCTTCAAAAGCGGAAACATCCTTTTTAATGTTTGCGTGCGAATGGTTTTTTGTGAAGATAAAGATAAATAAATAAATAAATAATAGGGCCAATAGTAGAGGCAAGAGACGTGATTTTTTCGTGTTTAGCCAGGAGAGGTAGAGAGGGCAGTTGAAGCCCCACCATTGGTAGGTGCGCGTTTTTAGTGGCGGAACCAGAGTTTGACGACACCACCGGAGGAGCACCGAAGTCGGGACGCACACCCGACCGAGCAACCGCTAAGTATCATTATTGTTTACGTACGTTTTGTCGTGCCGACAGTATCACCACCTTGATTACGTCCTCACCCATCCTTGTAGCATCTCGCACCCAGAGCCCAGTCATACCGGCGGGTTAATGTTACCCCCGGCAGCACCGGAGTAGTGTGAGTGGGTTCGTAACCAGCTTGGTTGGACCACACCTCGGGGTGTATATTTTGTTTAGTTTGATATATACATATAGTTTTGCTCTGCTACTCAGTTATTGTTGCCTTGCGAGTTTTGTTTATATCGGTGTTCTTCCTTGGCGAATGGTTTTGTTAGTGTCCGTAGCTAGCCGTCTTCACTACGCTGGCCGGTCGCTTTGTTAGTCGCATGTTGTAATTAGAAAGGGGATGTGACAATAGTTAGAATTTTTAAAAAATGCGACTGTTATTTTAGAAGTTCCGCGCATATCTGTAACGACGCGTCAGAGCATTTGAAGGCGCTTTTGAAACTTTAACCTCGTTTTTCTTAAAACTACGTTTTTCAAGGCGAAGGCCAAAATCTCTCGGGAACGGCTGAGCCGATTAGTCTCAAATTTTTACACGGGCTTCTGAGAAATATAATCCGGTAATTAACCGAAGCTTTTACATTACCGATGAAAAAGTTTTTTTAGTAAGCAATTCAAGACCAAAATAATGGAGAAAAATTTAAATTTTTTTGAGAAGCCGATATTTTGTCAAAAAATTTGTTTGGTTTATCCCTTTGATTTATCCCAAGTTTATACATTCTTTTGACGAAATCAGTATGATTGTTTCATTTCAGATGATTCACTTCAGAAATACGATGGTCAGCGCAAAATGCCTTTTTTGGGTGGGGTTCCTCGAGATCTGCTGTAGCAGTTTCGAAAACTGTTATTTTCATAAATAAAAACCAGCTAACAACTCCTCAGAGGTGCCATAGTATGTGTACAAATGCTCAAAATAATAAAGCTAAAAGCTTCCTAGTAAAACCTCATTTTTTAGGTATCCCTAGTAACGTTCACAAACACAAGCAATTTTCATTATAAAAAACTCTTATATTAACTCCTGCGATAGTAATATTTGCAAGGAATTATTTTTCCCTAATTACTTCGCACGCTTTGGCTAATGCTCAATATTTGGTTTGGTAATTAGGTGGCTTTAGTAGCCGAGAGAATAGTAGCTTGCTCTTTGTCGCTCTTTAAAGACACCAATTAAAGGTATGTCGTTTTTTCTCTTTTTCATCATTGTTTTTACTTCCACCAAGAACAAATGCTGTAACTAAATTTCATTTCTCAGAGCTACAGACTAACTACTATTTTATTAATTATTAATTTTTTAATTTTTATTTAATGTCCTTTGGTGGCTTCGATAGCCGATAGCTTTGGGAACTGCCATTCGCAAGACCAGGATTCAAGCTCTGGTTCGACCAACATCCAAAATTATAGAAAATTAATTTAATTAAAAAATTAAGTTAAATTTTCTAAGTGCGGTCGCCTCTCGACAGAGTGTGTCAACCCCTCCGAGTGAAGGTGCCTCGATTTGTTAGAAAATATCGAGGCGCATACGTAATAAATGATGGAGGAGATCGCCTCTAATCCTCTGCCGTTTATAAAGCGTCAGTATATATTTGTTCATTAAATGACCTTACAATACTTTTTACCACTACTGCAAGTAATATTCGCCAACACCTAACTACTAAGTCTTCCTTTCTTATTTAAACCTTAATTTAACTAATATTAAACTTCGTCATAATGATTTTTAACATTTTCATATGATTATTCTTTTTAATTTTGCCATCACACACACATAAATTTGCTCACTCACTCACTCATTCACAACTCCATTATACTCGTATGTTTGTATGTACTTGACACATAATCCTAATCGCTACTACATTTCATTTGCATCTTAACGCTTTCAAGGTATTGGCTTGGGTCAGGCTTTCATGGTATATCTATTGGCAACTTATTACGAGTCCATTTGTGCCCTCATCGCATACTACTTGGTGCAATCATTCCGTGACCCGCTGCCTTGGTCCTATTGTCGACCGGAGTGGGGAGTGAATTGCATTGACTCTGCGCCACGTAGTTGGCTCGATGAGGCAAAATTCATAGACTCGCACTCATCTGGCAATTGGAGTTTGGTTTACGGTAATCTAACAAAGGAGTATAATCAGCGGATAATTTCGAGTTCGGAATTTTATTTTGTGTAAGTTTTATTTAAAATTTTTGATAATATTCAAATATGCGAGTTTATTAATGGTGCCGGGAAAAGTGTGTTTAGAATTGCTAAATTAATTAAATTTCACTTGAATATCTACAGCAAGGATGTGTTGCGCGAAAAAGATAATATCAATGATGGAATCGGTTTGCCGAACTGGGAGTTGGTATTGGGGCTTCTAGTATCTTGGACAACAATATTTCTGGTTATTCGCAGGGGTGTGAAGAGTTCTGGAAAAGCTTCATATTTTCTGGCGCTCTTTCCCTATGTGATAATGGCAGTCCTGTTGGTGCGTGCTGTAACTTTACCGGGTTCTGCGGACGGTATAATATATTTCATAAAACCAGTCTGGGGGAAAATTCTAGACCCTAAGGTTCGTATAGTATATGAATTGTGGACTATAATTATTTATTAACTATGATAAAACATTCTAGGTGTGGTATGCCGCGGTTACACAGTGTTTCTATTCTCTATCCGTGTGCTTTGGCAATATCATCATGTACTCTTCGTACAACAAGTTCGATCACAACATACATCGGGATGCAATGATAGTCACCACTTTGGACACTTTCACGTCGCTAATTTCCGGTTTTACGATATTTGGAATTCTGGGTAATTTGGCTTACGAAATCGGTACAGATGATATAGGTACAGTGGTTAAAGGTGGCACGGGACTCGCTTTTATATCATATCCGGATGCGATTTCTAAGTTCAAAACGTTGCCGCAAATATTCTCTGTGCTGTTCTTCCTTATGCTCTTCATACTTGGCATTGGCTCTAACATTGCCATGACTTCGTGTACCGTTACAGCTATACGAGACAGCTTTCCCAACATCAAGCAATGGCACTGCGCTTTGGGTATATCCATCATCAGTTTCTTTATTGGATTGGCCTACGTTACACCGGTAAGTGAAGTGAAATGTTCTTATGGATTTAAAACCCATACATAAATATGTATTAAAGTGAGTATGTTATGATTTATTATATTCCCATTTCCAGGGTGGCCAATTTATTTTGACTTTAGTGGATTTCTATGGTGCCTCTATGATAGCTCTGATTTTGGGCATATTGGAGCTTTATGTATTGGGCTGGGTTTATGGAGTAGATCGGCTGTGTAAGGACATCGAATTCATGATTGGTCACAGGGTAGGCCGCTATTGGCGTTGGTGCTGGGCTCTCATTACGCCTGGTATAATGACGTTGATTTTGATTTATTTCTATGCGACATACCAATCGCTCACCTACAACAATGTTCCTTATCCAAACTGGGCCTATGGTAAGATGATGAAATGTAGTTCTCTTGTACAATACATCACATTACATTTGTCTATTATTTAGCTTTGGGTTGGACAATTACGGCATTCGGTGTTCTTCAAGTACCTATATGGGCTGTAGTGGCAATTGTGCGTCAGCCAGGTGAAAGTTTAAGGGAAAAGGTTTCTGGCGCTTTCCAACCTGTGAGTAGTTGGGGTCCATCTGATCCGCTGCTTCGTGAGCAGTACAACAAAGATCTCGCAAACGACAATGTTACAAAGGACTTGAGTTGTTGGGGTAAAGTAAAGAAAAATTTCAGCGGTTAATCCACAGGTTTATGTGATTCTTAAAACAGCAGGTGCTGTTCGCGGCTTGCCACAATTTTTGTATTATAGATTTTAATATAAATGTATATCTTTGTATAAAATATGTACTTACATTAAGATAATTCATCAGTACAAGCTTTATATAAATATTTGTTACAAATACTATAATCATATATTTATAAAAATATGTGAGTAATTTATTAAATGTACAAAAATGGAAGCCTTATTCTAATAAAACAGTATTTCATTCTAACAAGTCCATGTATTTATTCGTATATTGTTTGGAGTATATTTTTCAAATAACGGTGGAGATATGTTATTATAAATATTTTCCCGCTTCCGTGTCGAGAATTAGAATCAGCTCACCATTTTTGGGCGAAATTTTTCCTGCTGGTAGGTCCTCCTTATCTACGAAAACTCGCTGTGTTGAATAAAAATGTTTTTTTTTTTTAAATTTGTTGTTGCTTTTATTGCCGAAAAAATACTCACTTTAACCATTTCAGCTTTACTTGCGCCACACATAGCAAAAATACAACACTTAGCATTGTTGATAAGCGGCAAGGTCATTGTGACACGCTTAGGCGGCGGTTTGGGTGAATCTGCAATAGGCGCGATCAAAAGCGATTTTTCTTGAAGTAATGCGTGATTGGGAAATAACGAGCAAGTGTGTCCATCAGGGCCCATACCAAGAAGTAACAAATCAAATTCGGGAATTTCAGAGTTGCTTATGCCAAATTCATCCCTCACCTTGCGCTCGTAATCAGCAGCGCATTCATTTAGTGGCAAACTAATATTAATTGGTACGAATTGTTGTAATTTCAAATTGGTTTCCGGTACCAACTTAGTTTTGTAGACACCATAAGTAGATTCTGGATGTGTTTCGTCAACATAGCGTTCGTCACAGAAGAAAAATTTCCACTTGCTTAAATCGGTTTGAATTTTTGGTATAGCTTTACAGAGGAAATTTAACACGGATCCACCTATGAAGTAGCTTTTGTTAGTATTGGCAAGTAATAATATACATACACATTTACATTTATCTTGATATGAAATCAGTTTATCAATACTCACCTGAAAGTCCGATGCGAAAGGCGTCCCTCTCATCTATTGCTCGTTTAGCGCATTTAGAAATTTCACTTGTGAGTCTTTCGGTGACCTCCGATTCATTATTTACTACAATTTTGGACATTGCTATAAATATTTATGAACTCTCTGTAATAATAAACTTGGAGCACTTCCACACTATCACGAATGTCGGTGTTTAATGTTTATACGATAACATGAAAATCAGCTGATAGAAATGCATGAAGTGAGCTTTGACCAGAGATCGTAGTATATATACATATTTATATATATGTTATACGTTCTCTGGACTTGTTGCTCGTCATTGCCATTCCAGTGAGACTTCACGTACGTTCATATGTGCGTACATATGCATATATACATATATGTATCTACTTCTTTAAAGAACACATATATATGAACACACTTTAGGGACGTTATAAATTTCAAATATTTCTTTGCCGATGTGAATGTGAATACATTTGTTTAGGTTAAATCTAGTGTAACGAGTTATTTCATTTTTTTAACCTAGAAATTTATTTTCAAATTCCAGTTTCTCATTGTGGAGAAGTTAATTTATATATTAATTATTTGACCATTATTGTTAAAAGTTCAGCTCATTGTTTTTTCGATTTTACATATCCTTTTTTTTTGATGATAAATAAAGGTTATGCAATAATACTGCCGTCAAGTTTGCATTGTTTTCATAAAAACATATCAAACATCCCTATTGCGGCACATCTTTACCAATTCACATATATATGTGTGTGTATTTGCTTGTATGAATAAATTTGAGAGCGACAAAGAGCACGAAAAGCATTCCAGTTGAGCTTTTTAAAGCTGTTTCACAAATATATATTTGCTAAACAATTCGGTATGTAAGAGCTTTTTTTCGAATAACTGAGCTTTTATAAAGCGTTTAATGCCACAGTAAAGCTTAATGTCCAACCGTTTAATCATTAGACACCAGCTTTTTTTTTAATATTTCTACCAATAATTTTAACAGGAAAGTAGTAAATATATTGGAAAAATGATGTTTGGAACAAAATAAACTAACCGCAATAAAAGTCCCATTGAACATAAAAGTCACATTGAACAAATTTCGAAATGATAAAATTTTTCCACTGTTGTTAAATTTAACAAAGTCGACATTTTCCCTGGAACTTTTCACCATGTGTTATACCACTGCCACTGACTCTTGCAACGCAAAAAATTTAATTTTCATGGATTCAATAAATTACTTCAAAAGACACCTCCCTATAAACGCTAACAAAAGAAAGAAGACTTTTTTCCAATACTTAATGTAGTCTCTGCTATTAATTTGAGACGCTATGAACTGTAATTCAACATTGCTTTGATGTACAAGTCCCACACACCATTACGGAAACCCCACCGACATCAGGTTTAAAAAAAGCAAAGAGGGCTCTTTTTGAAAACCATCTGAGTCATTAAGATTAAATGCTTTTCGCCCGAGCAGATAATCTAGACAACAGAGTCACGCCAATTAGCTACATGTGTTCTTCTGCAAATCGTAGACTCGCTTTCTTATGCCGTGGTATAAGATGAGGTTCTTTCAGCAGTTTTGACAACGTAAAACGCATGAAGTGGCGCAGGGTACGCAGTGACAATTTTTATTGAATTTTACTGCACCGTGTCTGTTTAGCCAAAATCCCAGTAAAATTAGTAACGAGAGAGTGCAATTTTAACGTTAAGTTTGGAGAGAAAGTTGCAAATTCGTGCTGGGAAAATTTGATCCTGTAAAAAATTATTGAATTTTTGTCAACAAACCGAAATTGATTTAATTTTGGGCAATTCGAACTAAAAATTAGCCATCATCAGCCATAAATGAATTATGAGAGCGTAAGCAAGAATACTCTCTCAAAAAAATAAATTTCCAAAAGAGTAAACAAACACCAAATTGTCCATCACAATTTTTTGATTTTTATAAAGTAAAATAAAAATATTAATTTTTTTTCATTGCAGATACCACGCATGCACGCTTAATGACATATTTCCTTTCCGGTCAAGTTACTTTACCATGATAATTAATTATCTCTTTGAATTAAAGCTAGAATTGAATCTATAAACCATGCTAAGTCTTGAATCACTAAGGCTATTCTAGCCCTTATAAAAGACCGATGTAGGGCTTATAGATATTGGAAGCGTAATCCTACTGATTAACGGTGAACCACATACAAGAACTTGAGGAATAAAGTAACAACTGAATCGCGAAAAAGTAAATAAGGTTATCTTTGCGCAAAACTTGAAACTGATTTGCCTTCCAAACTATTGTGGGCAAATGAAAAATCACTTGGTTTTTATGCCAAAGAAGCAAAATCTTGTAGGGTTGATGCTGGTGTGATCAAGTCATACTTTTTTTTTAAAGAAATTCACATGCAATCCATCTGCCAATGAAACCAATGAAAGCTTAGTTACTGGCTACTGAAGAGCATCCTATAAAGTGTGTTTTTAATATAAAATCTAATGCAATTGGTGTGGATGGTCTGAGTTTGCGTTTTTTAAGACTTATACTGCCGAATGTACTTTCCACGCTTACCCACATTTTTAATGATGTGTCTACATGATTTATTGAGCGAATTTCAGTCTGGGTACAAATCCAATAAAAGTTGTGTCACAGCAAGTTTTGTAAGGGGATGTAATTTCCAATCGCAGAGAAATCATCTCTGGAGTTCCCCAGGACTGTATTTTAGGGCCAATACTTATCAGTTTACATATTGATAACATTTTTCACTGCTGCCAAAATTCTTTATCCTTGGAATGTTGATGGATCTGTAAAAATAAAAAAAATTCTTGTAAAATGAAGTTGTAGTTATAGTCTGTCGAGCCGAATTTTTTAATTTCGAAAAATCTTCCAATTTACGGAATTTAGAAAAAAAGTATGCGTTTTACGTCATAAATGTCACACTTTAATTATGTTCATAAAATTTTTTAATAAAAATATCGAAAATACGGCTCGACAGACTATAGAGAAAGCATTTTCGAATATTTAAAAAAAAATCGCATCAAAAAATGTTAAAAACTGTATGAGTTATCATGCAGACCGTGCCGGGAAAAGTAGTTTCGAGAAAAACGCGTTTAAACTTTCATGTGTCATGTGTGTGTTACAGCTACCTGTGTGCATTAAACTCTCGTCGGGCGGTCTGATTTTCTACCATAACTTTGTATCTATGGGGAATTTTTACAATCGACTTTCACAGAAATACGCCTAAAACTATAAAGAATAATAACCTATAAAAAAAAATCGATTTTTTGAAAATTCTGGACGTATGTAACCCCCTAAACTAGTTCCGTCCCTTACTATTCCAAAAATTTCTTATTTTGAAGTACTATAAGCTATGACTCCGGAAACAGATTATACTTAGTTTTGAATAACGTAGCTAGGTTAATTTACTGCAAAAAAGAGAGTTGGAACAAAGATATGTGGTACACCAAAAACATTCTCGGCTTCACCCTTGAGAATTATCTCAAGTTTCGCAATTTAATATATTTATTTAAAATCATCAAAAACCATCAACCAGGATATCTCTTTCGCAAAATAAAGGTTGTGCAATCTTCTCGTACTCACAATATTGTTGTCCCCAAATACAAAGCTTTGACGACCTTTAAATTGTGTTTTGGTAGTGCTGTCAGAATTTGGAACTCACTACCAATTTCAATAAAATCTATCAAAACGATTGGATGCTTCAAAACGGCAGTTACAAACCTATTTGCATAGTTCCAATTCCTATTCTCCTTATCTATGTCAACATACTGTTTAGATATAATATTATTCTCAGCTATTACTAAGATTAAAATAATAATAATGCAAGGACTCTTTGTCTTACCGTACGGATAAATTAACTGAAATTGCAATATAGTCGTCCTTTTCCTTGTTTGGTGAACCTGTCCCGATATGGGTCCCTCCAATGTACCCTAAATTACAAATACTAAAATTGCAATTTTATATTGGTTTAGTCTCATATCTTATTTGAGCATTTTTTGGGCTCATAGAACTCAAAAAAAAAGGAACCATATTTTTTTGGCACAAATTGTGCGGTCGGTTACATGATTCATATCCAGCAGTCCACAGAAAAATCAACAGGTGCCATATTTCAGATATTCTTTTATCGGAACATAACTGTTGGTAATAATCGTTGTGAAATATTCGCACACTCAGGTAATCAAAAGACTTTGGGAAATTTTAAAACTGCAGCGAAATTCTTTTCCATTGTAAGATGGAACTACATATTTGTTCAAACACTAGTAGATAATTCTTTCAATATATTTTACGTTCTCAGTGGCTCGCAAATGTTCAAGTATTCTCATACTATAATATGTCGACGATGAAGTCACTTTCTGAATTCCATTAAAATTACAATTGTATTACAAAAAATGGCTTGCACATCAACCGTATTAAGTTCAGTTATTAAACACACAATTTCTATTTATAATAAATTGAGTATACTTTTAATGGGAGCGAATTCGTCCACTGCACGCACATTTTTATCCAATACCTTAGCTGAAGTAAGAGATTCAAACGTGTTCATTCTGTATTAGTAAATTGCATCTATGAAAAGTTAGTCACAATTATTTTTAAACGCTTTGATAATTGATTTTATACATTTACTTCTGATTTTGTTGATATATTTTTTTTCCGTTTTAATTAAATAAATATTTTCCTCTCAAATTTTGGTTGCTCTCTAATTTTTAAGTGTAAACGGACGCCATTTGACAACTATTTTGGATATTTTGTAATAGTTTTTCAAAATTATTTTGATAACAAACGGAGCTATTAATACTTTAATATGAATGATATACGAAAAAAAATAAATACACAAATATATCTTTGTTAAATTAAATTTAATAATTTAAACTCATTTCGTATTTCAATCATCCTTTCTGAAAAGCTAAGCGACAAATGGTTGCAAAGCAAGTTTTACATAAATCTACGACCTTTTAGAGGACTATTAAAAAACATATTGGCATCCTTATAGTGTGCCGGCTACATGCTTTAGAACTTCATCATTACTGAAATATAAACAAATTTTAATATAATTTATAAATTTTGCCAATTTTATTAAAATACTTAAAAGCAGCCAAACTAAACTATATAAATTAAGGGATTCAAAGGTAACTGACAAAATAAACAACTTTTGTACAACTTGGACTAATTTTTACTGAATCCTGTTCATTGAAAACTCAGTAAATTTTATTCTTTGGGAGGATAACACTTCTACTCTCTAAAAATTTCGTTACTGGCTAATAGCTAATAGCTTTGCTTTTATGGCTTGCTTTAGATCGGTTCAACTTGTCGACATCAACTTTATCTAAAATCTATGGTAACGTTCTTCAGCAAGTTAAATCCTAGTGTTATAAAATGGCCAACCAAGAAACAAGAATTTATGTTGTTTTTGCAGTAGTTGTTCTACCTGGGTTAAGGATATGTTGTTCAGGCTAAGTCACCGATGTCATCTAACCGGAGGTCTAGGAAACGACCTGTTTCAGCGGGTTCGGACCAGATGGAGAGGGGTTTAGATGTGTCGATTTCTGGGGGTATGTTAAGAGGTGGTTAGTATCTTGCGGGAAATCATTACATGCTGTACATACCGTGGGTATGTTTGGATCGAGTCTTAATAAGCAGGAGTTTAACCTGCTAGAATGTCCAGACTTAATCTGCCCCAGTATAACGCGGGTCTTTCGTGGCAGCTCTTTTATTAGATGGCTGTTGGGATGCTACCGCTAGGGGCGGTGTTTTGGCAAGTCTGTAGTTTCTTAACTGTGTCTCCTTCATACCCGCTGCCCAGATCAGTGCAGCATAGTTAAAGAGGTTTCTTTGCCTTTACCGCAGGCACTGCCGGCGAGCGCTTTGAATATTTTGGTGCGGCTCTGGAGTTTTGCGGCAATTACGATCATATGCGGAGTGCAGGCTGTCAAATGTGACTCCTAGTAACTTTGAGTAGTCTGTGGTTGGAGTTTTGACGCGACATCAACATCACTTTCGAGCGTGTACTCCTTCGTCCAGCTAGTGAAAGTCCCGCCGAATATTTGGTCGGCTGTATTTTCGTGCATTATCGAGCAATCATCGGTAAAGGAAACGCCTTCTGGTGGAGGCGGGAGCTTTGAAATATAGAAGTAGATGATTCACCTCTTCCACCTAAACAGGGTTAGCCCTCCGATAGGGAGACAGCCCATGGCCAGTTTAAATCCGGGTCAACTCCGGGGGGTACAACCGGCTGTTATGAGAGCTGATATTAAGTGTCTGTTCTCGAAAGCAATAGGTAATAATTGTATTTTATTTCGGTTAATTATGAAACTAACTATTTTGTAACGATGCATGGATGGAACCCATATTGAAATTGTTCCGCCAAAGAGGGAGAGGGATGAATACATTAAGACCATTAATTTTTGGGAAAATGTCATTTAAACTGCCCTGAGTGTTCAGAATTTTTTTTGTTAAGTCGTGAGGACTGTTCTTAGTTACTATGCCAGAAATGAGCGCGATCTGTCAAACAGTTTGTTTGCAGCAGCTGCTGAAATCAGTCCCCCCTGCGAAATGTCTTTTACGGCATCAATCGAGTCGAAACGGGTTCCAGGGAGTGGTAACTGGTGCTTACGGTGGTTGATCGATGGTATTGAACGATTTTTTGGTCTTAAAATTGTTCACAACTACAGCTCGGTGCGATGGCGAATTAAAGATATGAAAGTTTCCGTAAATCGTTGGCCCACAATCCCGGCAGTTTAGGACGGATTTTGTCGCTCAAATGTCTCAAAACGCTCAAATAATATTCGTTATTGACCGTCTGTCCCGTTGGAACGAATTCATAATAAATCAAACCGCCAATATCTAAAAAGAAAACAAAATTTCCGGAAAATTTCTGGTCTTCACATATATATATATTAAAGGGCAGAGCACCTTTTTTTTGCAAGGCACATGTAACGAAAATAAGAAATATTTTGTGGATACCCGGGCTCCAGTCATGGTAGTTGAGTTTTTAAAAGTTCTCCCAAACATAATAAATTACCCTGTGTTGTGCAGGTAGAAATTTTTTATTTTCATTGGAATAAAAATTAATTAAATTTTTAGGCAGTTGTATTATTGCAATTTGCGTGGCATGAAAGCTCAGTCATTTCGCGTTATGTTTTTTCTTTTATTGAGGAATTACAGAGGAAGTTGTTTAAAATTTCTTTCTTAATACTTTATATTTATGTGCACATTTATTAAATGAAATTGTAATACTCGTACATATATCACATTTTTAAAAAGCCGAAAACTAACATCAAAAATTTCATTACACTATCCTAGCAAAATTTACTTAACTTGTTATTTTTTCAAATATCGATAAGAGATAAAAAATGCGTTAATTTTTTTCTAATTACAGTTTTTTCTTCGTTTCCTCTTTATATTTTCTTGTAAGCAGTTTTTAATTTCTGTATCCCTAATTTTTTGTTCTTCCCTGTCCAGCTTCCTACTTTTCAACTTTATACATTTTCAAACTGTCGGCTGCAATTCCTTGACAATTTTTATTAAAAACTTTGTGGGTGCATCAAGCCAAGTAGTTTTTTTCAGTTGTATCTCTGCTACAACCGGGCTCTAAGCTGTTGGCACCAACCACCTCTTTTAAGGTCTCTTCAAGAGATATACTTGCTATTACCCCATCGGAGGGGAATACAGGTATGAAATCCGGGTTCTCTTCCTGTGTAGTACAGAAAATTTCAATTTCTTCACATTCTTCTTCACCATCAGCTTCTAGCACCACCTTGTTTCTATACTCAATATCTACAAGTAACAAAATTTTGTAAATACATACACATAGTTATATATACTTATGTACATTTATTTGTGCATGTATATCTCGATCGAACATTAGAGCGGGAATGTGAGCGTTTTTGTAACACTTTATGTACTGAATACATATGTATGTATGTAAATGAAAGTTGTATAAAAGTGGCAAAATTTATTGTTATTATGGGAAATTATTTGTATTTGTTTAAGTATATATCTCTGAATACCTCCCATTACTTCATAGATAACACCATGAGATCCCTTAGTGGCTACACGTTTCGAGTAAGGACAGCGGCTACGAGTGGGGATGGACAAGACAAAAAACATAAGTGAAATTTAAGCCCTATCCAAACAGATAAGGTCAAAGAGCAATACCAGCACAAATTCCGTGCTCAATAGGACGAAAACTATTCCGTTGGCACGAAACCGATTTCTACGACGACAGAAGTCTGAGTGGATACAGAGGACCAGTGACCACAAAAAACACAACCAACGGGAGGTAGCAATAGAAACTGCCCTGGAGCGAGGCTTGAGGTAGTGGAATGGAAGAACATTTCGCTCCGACCTCGGGCAAGGACGCTAGTTAGGGGAGCGGAATCAGAGATTATTTTAGTCACAAATCATGAACCCCTGCTGGTCAAGGTTGAAGCAGATGGGCCGAGAAGTCAAGTAGTCCTCTCGTCTCTCGCTTAACAAGGACTTTCTGGAAATAAAAAAAGTCCGAATGCAGTACGGATAAGATGATATTATCATCCATGTATATCGTGCTGATGCGCAGCGCGCCTCTTGCCCTGGCAGAGGCTCTGCAAGGTTTGTATATAGAGGAGGAACTTCTGTATAGCGAGGACGTCACCGTTATAGCTGTGGGGAAGAGTATACCAATATGAGGATGCTACGAACCAATCTCCGCAAGTCTAAGGGGTCTACATCCATGCACTTTGGGTGGTATATTTAAGGGTATGTGGTTTGAGAGGGAGGGCTCCAACGTTTATTAATGTGAATAAGTCATAGATCTTACACTATGTAGTGAAAAACTTCACGACTATATTTCAAGCCGGTAAGTTCTCAATGAACATTCCAGTTATAACCGTCGATACATTGAAATAGTCATGGATCCTACTTACTTACTTGCTTTACTGGCGTAGACACCGTACTTCTTTTTGTTGTTTGACGCCAATTGGAAATACCAATTACAGCCAGGTCCTTTTCTACCTGGTATTTCCATCGGACTGGAGGTCTTTCTCTTCCGCTGCCTCCACCGTCGGGTACTGCATCGAAAACTTTCAGTATGTATTCATCCGGGCCACATGACCTAGCCAGCGTAGCCGCTGTTTCTATATTCGCTGAACTATGTCATTGTAGTCTCTTAACTTCTTTCGCCGACTCATCTGATGTTGTCACCGTCCACTCCTCCGCACCATATAGGAAGACGGAATTGATGAACGACTTCGCCGAAATCAAACTCTACAAATCCCTCATTGGACGGCAATAAGAGTTTTTGAGAGAACGGTTTTGCGTAAGATTGGGTTGAAAGAGATTACTCCAGCTCTGATAGTTTTGAAGCCCTACCCACCGGTGGAAGGAAAGGAAGCAGAAGATCTTCACTCCGTTGGAAAAATCAGGTAAAGACGGGCATATAAAGGAGTGCAAAATTGTTGTCGGATTTGTGGTGGGGGAGAGACTTCTTTGTCGAGTCCTGGCATTCGCCGCAGTGGATGAACATCTCGCAGCGAAATTGAATGGCGCGATATTATAAATTCGCCTAAAATCGTGTTAGCGGTGTCTACGTGAAAATTTCATTCGATGATCGCGCCTCGTCAGACCCGAAGGGATGCGCTAACTATTTTAGCCGACTTTTTAAACTGCATCCTACGGTAGACAAAACAATGCGACGGGCAAACCGACGTCCGCGCAAACTGCCAAACATCAGCGAGGCGCTTAACTTCTCCAGGGAGGAGGTTGAGAGGGTCATCGGGAAGTCGAAAGCCTCCAAATCCATCGGCTCC